TTTAAGAGAAAGATATATTGTAATTAAAATAAGTGGGGTAAATAGAGAAGCGGTAATATTAAGCTTGAATTGTTGTTTCTCTTTTTAAAGGTAAGAACAAAGTATTGTAAATATTTTTTATATACTAATGTAAATAATATTTGCTAAAAGTGTATAAAACTCCATTCTGTTTGCAGGGAAACATTTTGGCTTAATTATTATCCTGTACAAATAATTATCTTATCTTTCTCTCTCTATATTTCTATTTATACATATTTCTAATATCAAATCAGCGAACGCTATTTATTCATCATTTACGACATGATATAAAAATATTAAGCCCTCTGCATTCTATTTAACAAGACCCATGCGGATGATTGTAAGCAACATATCATCAGAGAGGAAATACATCAGAGTAGAAATACCTTACTGGAATAATGGAACATTATATACACACCTTTCTTATTCTTTACCAATTGCATGTGGAGTCCCGCAGGGATAGATTTTAGGCCCTATTCTCTTCCTACTATATGTAAATGATAGGCCCTCGATGATTACAAACGGAAGAACAGTTTTCTTTGCGGATGACGCGAATATTCTTTGCAATAAAGAAACCGTAAATACTACAATATCAGACATTTCAGATTGGTCCCGTAGTAACAAATTAATAGTAAATGAAAAGAAAACCGTTTCAATGAAGTTTTCCATTTCAAATAAACAGCTCTGTACTCCATTGAAAATGAACGGTGTGCCATTGACTGATGTTAAGGTAACAACATTTTTAGGTCTTTCAATTCAGTCAAATGTTAAATGGAAAACCCATTTACATGAATTGAATACTAAATTAAGTTCTTCGTGCTACGCTTTCAGAATTCTTTCAAATTCAGTCAGCCCCCACACTGCTTATTGTGTATATTTCGCGAATGTTCATTCGCGCCTGAGATGTGGCATAATATTCTGGGGAAATACACCTTCTAGCTGCCAAACGTTTAGATTACAAAAAATAATTGTACGAATAATAAGTAAATCCCACCCACGTGATTCTTGTAAGACTCTCTATTAATCTAGGTATTTTACAATTACTTTGTCGGTCGATATATGAATCAGTGTTTATTGTCAAAATGACTTCAGGGCGGGAATATATTTTCACCACATTTATATCTATAACTACAACACTCGACGTAATAATCATATACATCAGGTGACAGTATCAACAGTTCACTACAAATAATTCTCATATAACACATGTTCGTTATTTTACACCTAGCCAAATGACATTAAACGATTAAATTCAATACAAAAGTTTAAGCCCAAAGTAAAATGTTCTCTGCTGCACAACTGTTTCTCTAGTTTCTATAGTTTTAGAAACAAATTAGAACAAGATATTAAATAAGTATGTGCTGTGTAGTGCGGTGAAGTGCTGTTCAGTGTGTAATTCAAAGGCAATCCAAAGCAAAAAAAATGTAGTGAAGTGAAGTGAAGTTCGGTGAACGTGATCATTGCACTTTTCAATGCTGCTTTTCGTCTTGTACTGTATTGTACGGTATTATTATTATTATTGTTATTATTATCATTATTATTAATGTAAGTGTTGTAATTTTTGCAATTATTGCCATTAACTGCCACCGGGTCATACCCAATTGCAGTTCTAATAAATGTATGTATGTATGTATGTATACAATTATCTAATACAATACAGACCATCCAAAAGGAAAGTAATATTAATTTCAACAATGACATTTAACGTATTATATACCTTTTGGATTGTATAATTCTAAAGAACCTGTAACACGTATTGTACTTCAGCTTCTGGGTAAATGACCCCCCCCATCTTGATCATGTTTTCGTCCTGTTTTCCTGATTCTCGACCAAATGCTGAGATGGCCCCTCGTTTTGCTTCTGGACATAAATGTAACTTAAGTAACTTAGTAGATAAATTAACTTCTCCCCATGGCACGTCACATATAGTTTTTTACTAAATAAATAAATAAATATTTTTTTATTAAAAGATATTTCCTCGTTGATATCTTCAGACTCATAATGGAGGAAAATGGTCACAAATGTAAGTGCCCATTACAGGCCACCCTACGTGAGGAGCGAAGTAAATGATATTTCGTTATGGATCATTACATATATTGTTTATTACACAACACATATAGGACACAGAGTGTATACGAAAACAACTAATAACAGAAATAGCAAGAAACATTGATTCAAAACTATGCGTGCAGTGTATTTTCTTACAATTCATTACATATCTGTACAACAAGACTTAACACGATATTTCTAATTGATTTGAAAAACTCCAAGTAATTTATAAAACATACTGAAAAATAAAGAAATTTATTTTAGATTTTAATAATGAATATTAAACTTATTAAAACATAGACTGTGCTAAAGTCAAATAATTGAACATTTGTACGCATATCAGGCAGTGTCTGAAGGACTACTTGCCCGGAAGGAAGTAAGTGCTAGTTAACATTACGCTAAATATCTAAATTTAATAACCAACTGCTCGTCGTGTCACAGAATTCACTATATACAAGAATAAAAAAATGTCAATTAGTTTGTGGACTTCAATTGCACATATGTTAAGTGGAGTTTACATTTTATCTTTTTTCTGTTATTTTTCAATTGACGGAATTATTAACAAAACACAACTAAAAAAAATAATGCCTGATGGAGGCATATTTAAATATACCGTGTAAAAACAACTTGGAAGGCGGAGTTTCAATGCTGAGACGAAAGGAGGCTTTCTCCTATCCCTAACCGGGGTGAGGGTTTTCTGCCACGCTGTGTGGCGGCCCTTCGGTAATCCAGTTACTCTTTTTCGAGCAGTTTCGTCGGCGCAGACCTCTTCTTTTGTGTTTCTTGGAGAAAACCCGGTCTGGCTGTGGAATGGCCAGCGCTCCCAATTAAAGTCGGTGCTCTATAGAAGGTTTTTTTTCTATACGCCCGGCGAAGTGTTAGTTTAAACATCTTCTCCCAGAGCACGTCGTCCGTTACTTAATTGCGAATGTCCTTGAGGCCGAGTGAATCGTGTACTTGAGGATTCGTGATGGAAGTCTTGAAGTCCATAGCGAGCTCCTTGTGGGCTGCCTCCAGCGCTGCGTTGACCAGCGCCGCCGTCTGGCGCTTGCTGGGCAGCGTGTAGTGGTCGGCGCCCTCCACGTAGTGCACGCGCACCGGACGCTCGCAGATCTGCAACGCAACGTGCATCAGCGCGCTTACTCGGATCTCCTTTTTCCATCCGACACCCTCCACATTCCAGTAAATACACACACATTTTTTTAAAGCACGATAAACCTTTCGTATGATGACAAACTCTTAATCGCAAGTAGAACAACCCGCTCGTTCGCCGATCATGCAAGTGATTTTGGAACAAACTGGCTTGTCTATCATTGCGTAGCCTCAGGTACGACGCCCCAATCTTTGAGAGGAGCACGTCAATTGTTACTCGCGTGATCTAGCGTGCGAGGAGGCCGCTTTTGGCAGTCGTTCCTAAGCAGTTACTTGGATCTGCTAAAATATAGTGCTTCATACCCTCATAATTGCCCGAGTAATGAGCGAAATGCATAGTTAATTGAAGTGACACAAACCCGGAACTGTCGACGACTCGAAATGAGCATCCCTTCGCCCAAATAATACGAACAGAAAGAAATGTCTCATGTAAATACTAATAGTTCCAGAATCGTTCTGTTGCATTATTTTCTCGGCCGTTTCACACGTCAGCGAAGAGAAATACAAAAGACGAAAAGAAAGCAATTGAAAAAAAATATTAGAAATTTAAAGTATACTGTAAGGTTCTCTGAGATAAGAAAACTTCTATGACGAAGTATAAAACTAGTTCAACAGTACTTTGTTCTAATTTGATATTTTGCGGGTAGGGTATGAATTTAATAATATATAATATTTTTTGTTAACAAAAGTAATAGATGTGACTTAATAACCACGTAATATTATATGCTAGGCATTATTGACATATATTAGGACACAGTAGTAAAAGATAAGCTACACGCAAGAACTACATTACTATTTTGCATTTCTTGTATTCACGAAAAAATAAAACCATGAAAATAAGTTAGACACTAAAGAATCTACATTGGGAACCACAATATTAATTAAGAATATCTTTTCGTATAATTTTGTAAAAGTATTAAGACGTGAAGATAATTTACGAGAGTAGTTTACGATCGATTTTACTCTGTACGTCAAAGGAGGTAAAACTAGTATACATTGTATAGAATGAAGTTCAAATGGCGGTCCCCTACATGCGTCTGGGATTTGATTCTCACTTCCTCCACCAGATGTCTCTTTCAATTACTATATGTGAACTGTCTGGTTGGGAGAAAGTGATATTTTGTTAGGGCGGATGTCGAAGGGATTTAATTTTGCCGAATCTGCCAGGATTCTCGTACATGCCACAAGCATGTCATGGCTACTGGGTATAGCTATATGGCTACTGAGCCCGTGCACCAGCGGTTCAGAGGCCAGTAAGCTAACCCCTCTCCCACCAAGGCCCTTTGATATTAACATTATAGGCTTTATTTAAACAATATTGAATTTGTGAGTACAAGTGTTTCAATAAATTACTGCGACATTTCTGGAAAAATCAAAACTTTTCTGTAAAAATAATGTCAAAATTGGGCATTTTCAGAAACGGTCAATCGACAGCTCAGTGCATTTTCAGAAGCGCTTAAACGCTTTTGCGACAGACATGAACCATATTGAGCAGGTCGTCTTGTTATCCTCTAGATCTGGGCTTTCTACAAATCATCCACTTGATCTTTATTGAGTCTCACGATATCCTCTAATTGGTTAACTCTCAATCATCGTTCACTTTATCATCTTATTCCAAATTCATTGTTTGATTAATTTTCTCAAGAAACTACTTAATATGTTTGAAATAACTTTTGAGCAACATCCCCAAGAATGTTCATTCATCAACATACGTGGAGATCCTCCACAACGTTGCCTAACGCAGAGGACCCTCTACATCTTCGACATTCATGCAGGATCCTTCACTTCATCGATTTGACTGTAGGATCCTCCACATCATAGACTTGTGAACAGGTTCCTCCATTTGCACACAGAATCCTTAACTTTATACACTTGCTCACAGCATCCTCCACTTCATCGACTTGCGCACAATTTCACCACTTCATCGGTTTGCACGCAAATATTCCACTTCATCGAAATTAAGGTTCTCAGACATTAGTGACTTTCAAGTTTAGAAGAGCCAAAAGTGTCGAAATAGGGGTGGGGATAGAGCATGGAAAGAAGATGAAAGGGATGGGAATTTGACAGGACACTGCTTGAGAGTCTACTCGTGATGTGTCACCTCAGCTCTTTACCGACTGAGTTTTCCATCAAGATTTATGAGGATATCATGCTGAGTGAAGTGTTTTGCTGAGAGGAAATTAATTCCAAGCAGTTGGATGTTTGTTTCTCACAGATGCAGTTTTAATTATTGCTATGCGCGCTTAATTTCGCTTCAGTGTTGTTCTGTTGTATAAGAAGGGCAGATTCTACTATGTTAATGCTTTGGGCGGCACATTGTAACCTTGACCCAAGGGATACTGATCCGTTCCGAACTCATGAAGGCATATCTTTTAAGTACATTATGAAGTATGCAGGTCCTAAAATCGAACATGTGGGATCGCATAGTCAATTGGTACTGAATCCGGTGATAAGTAAAAAATATCCCTTCATATCAAAACGGTATTTATAGTCCCCGAGATCCTTGTTTAAGATATAAATATATCCAATATGCAGCAAAGACAAGATTTCCAAGGTTAATTTGAAAGTAATATGTTAAGATCAGTGACGTTCAATACTTTTAAAAGATATGAAATTATAACAATAGGTTTTTCACTTCGATAATTTAGTAAGGCAGATATATCAAACTTCAAAGCCACTAACAGCAAAACCGAGTGAAAGCTAGTTGACATTTTTTGGCAATTTAATTGCTAATTTATTACTATAAAGTTAATTTAATTGCCATTTCTTTAAAAAAGCTAAGTGTTTTCCAGCTTCATATCAAGGTAGCAAAACCTAAAAGTTTTCGACTTCCTTAAACAACAAAAACTACTAAAAATTGTTTGGCTATTTAATTAATAATTAATTACCAAAAATTATTTAATTGCACTTTATTAAAAACGAAACACAATGTTTTTCTAACTTGATATTAAGATAGCAAAATATTTGTGGTTTTTACTCCCTTAAATAACTAAAACTACCACGAATTTTTTTGCCATTTAATTACTAGTTAATTACCAATAAATTAACTCAATAAAATAGTGCTTTGCCCTATTTTGTCAAAGAACATTATATACATGATAAGAAAATACAGTGTAAGAATTAATTACCCTAGCAAAACAAAGTAGAATGTATTTGGCTGTGTAGATTTCATGTCCCGGAGTAAACAGTAATTGACTGCGATGTAATTACTGACAGTAAAATCGTTTAATATATCAAATCTTATTAACTTGTCAAAGAACATTTAACACGTGATAAGAAAGTTCAGTTTAACAATTAATTACTCTAATATAATATATCATATCTTATAAATTTGTGAAAAACCATTAAATATATAAGAATAATCGGTTCAAATTAGTATCTATTTGTCTATTTAGAGTTACAATGCTGGTATAAATAGAAATTGAAGTTCGCTGCTATATCACAAAGTATGTTATAGTAGTTAATTTTGTCGTCTCAAGGTGGCGACCACTTTTTGTTTTGTTATAATAAGTTACAACTGCTTGTTAGTTTCGTTATAATTGGATACTATTGAAGTATCAAACATTATTTTAATTTTAATATAGAAAATTGTAAAGTTCTCTCGCTGGCGCTAGTTTCTTAACCATTCTTTTACTGGTGCTTTCACCCTATTGTAGTTACTTTAACAATTAATTACCCTATTAAAACAAAGTAGAATCTATTTGGCTGTGTAGGTTTCTTGTCCTGGAGTAAACGAAAATTGATTGCGATTTAATTAATGACAGTAAAATTGCCTAATATTCGTAATACAGTTTCGAAAAATTCAGAAATTTCGTTATATTGGCAACTTTGACAGTTCGATCGAACGCATTCACTTAAATGTTTCCGAAGTTTCATACATTTGTAAAATTTGTTATTTATATCAGAAAATAATTCTGAAATAAACAACAGCATTTAAGTTTCACTTTTCATGAACACAATAACAAAAAAATGTTTTAAAATTGTGAAATGGGGCGTATTTTGATGTATGTAGTTAGATTATTAAATTTTTAATATATTATTTATAAATTTTAATTACGTTGTTTAAAGCAACGGTTAATTGGAGTTCAATGAACATTTGAATTACTTTTCAAAATTTTATTGAAAATTGAAAGTTTTTCGGCAATAATGAAGTTAAAAGGCCAATAATCAATGATTATATTCTCACATGTAAACGCGAAACTAAAATGTTTTCAAATAAATATGATCTGATATGAAATCTTATATTTTTTCAGATAATGTAAAGTAATTGAATAAGAATTGGCATTTCCTAACTCTCATTAATATAATCTCTAATATTTATTATTAAATAATCATATTCTCATCATATAGAACAATGGGAGAATATTGTATAAATCTAAAATATAAAAAAATCGCGAGTTTTTCTTCACTGTGGTTGGAAATTGATACTAACTATAGAAGCCAGAAAACCATAATTCAAGACAAAATCGATTGAACAGCAGGAAATGTTCCCTGATGAGTGACGATTTCATAGAGACCAAACGTACTTATTCGGTTTTTTAAAATAATCGTATTCCTAATCGTAACAACTTGCAACAAATTGTTTATAACAAAAATTGTTTACTAATTTGTTGTGCGTGTTACTGAAATGTGTTGTGATCTTATAAAAATGCAATTTGGAAAAATCCAATTCAAAATTTCTAAATCTCGAATTTTAAAGTCCAATTTCGGAGCAAAACATTCAATTTAATCATTTGGAACAAATTGATTAAAACAAAAATTGTTTATTAATTTTTGTGCCTGTTACTAAAATATGTTGTAATCATGTAAATGCATTTTTTAAATGAAAATAAAAATTTCTAAACATCGAATTTTAGATTTAAATTTCTGAGCAAAACATTCGATTTAAGTATTTTGCAACACATTGTTTATAAGAGCAATTGTTTTCGTTATAAGACACCAATTGTTAATTGTGGTTGTTGTAGTAGATCCCGATTTATATTCACTAACGCGAAAGAAAATTCATAACTTTTTGGAGGCTATTTTTCGGTGATTTTAAAATGTTCATAACTTCCGTAATAGACATCGAAAACTAAAGAAAAGAAAAATGTTTTAAAGGCTTGAACCTCTACCTCTACTACTACCTCTACTACTCTTTTCAACATCCAATCGATAGCGCCACTTTTTTTGTCTAAAAAGTAGTCAGGATCATAAAATTAAGTGAAAAACTAATCGTTTTAAAAAAATTCATATAATTTGGATGAAAATAACAAAGATATGACGTTTTGAAGAAAAAAAACTTGCATTTTAGGCAAATTTAGGCTTTTTTATCGATTTTTATCAAATGAAAGTGTGAGTTTTTGCAGTTTTCTTAATTTTCATGACAAGGTCATAACATTCAGCCAAAAACAAGTCGTTTTGAAAAAAACTTCATGTAATTCGGGTGCAAAATAACAAAGATACGAGTATGACGTTTTGAAAAAACCCTTGCATTTCAGGCTTTGTTTGTCAATTTTTGTCATGATTTTTTGCTGCGTCTTGATCCTGTATACAGACCTGTATATAAACCCTGCATGTAGACTCTACGTATAGACCTCCGTCTATAGACCCCAAAAACTGAACGTGCATATAGACCGCTCTATATGCAGAGTCTGTATACACGGTCCGTATATTTTTATACAGACCCGAATCATTTTTATTGAAGACAAAACCCAAATATTTTTTATAAAAATCGACAAAAAAGCCTAAAATTACCTAAAATGCAAGGGTTGTTCAAACGGGGGTCAAACGTCATATCTTTGTTATTTTCAACCCGAATTACATGAAGTTTCTTCAAAACAACTCGTTTTTGACTAGCTTTTATGACTTTATCAGAAAAATTTAAAAAAAACTGCAAAACCTCATACTTTCATTTGACGAAAGTCGATAACATACCCTAAATTTGCTTAAAATACAAGAGTTTTTAAAACGTTATATCTTTGTTATTTTTCATACGAATTACCTGAATTTTATTTTTTTAAATGATTCGTTTTTGACTGAATATTATGTTCCTGTCATGTCAATTTATGATTTGTACCGAAATTAAGTTCATAAGTTGTAAAAGTTGACCAATTTGCAGACAAAAAGATGACCTCATCTATTGGGTGCTTTAAGTGTTAAAACATACTTTGATTTCAATATCAACCTAATGTTCAACCGAAAAATAGCCTTCAAAACGTTATGCATTTTTTTCGTTAGTTTATATTATTTAGGAAAAGTTTTGAAAAGCGTTGTTGTAAGTTCTGTTAACTTTTAGTTCTTAGCTATTATCTGACTTTATTTAGTTATAGTATTATGTTCAATAAAATGCGGGTTTTTGCATATATTTCTTCCACAACATTTTTTTTTCATCAGCAGAATAATTTCGGAATTATATTTGAACATTTTCAAAAAAGTGTTAGGCTAACTTTACGTAAAGTAAATAAAATATGCTGTTTAAAAAACTGTACAACAATATTTTCCTTCATAACATATTAACAACAATCACACAACATATTTTGCAATAGTTTTCATGTTGACAACAAAGTGTTTAGCTAACTTTACGCACGTTGGTCGCCATCTTGAGGCAACACAAATTAACTACTATAACATACTTTATGATATAGCAGCGAACTTCAATTTCTATTTATAACAGGATAGTAACTCTAAATAGTGAAATAGATACTAATTTGAACCGATTATTCTTATCATATATTTAATGTTTTCAACAAACTTATACGATATGATATATTACATTAGAGTAATTAATTGTTAAATTGAACTTTCTTATCACTTGTTTAATGTTCTTTGACAAGACAATAAGATTTGATGTATTAAACAATTTTGCTGTCTGTAATTAAATCGCAGACAATTACTGCTTACTTCGGGTTATGAAATCTATAC